AATTAATTTTCAATTTATATTAATTAATATATATTAGTATTAGTTGTATTTAAATTATATTAATATTTATTTATAATTAATAGTAATAAATAATAATTAATATTAATGAGGGTTATAATTGGAAAAAGTGACAATAAGCTACAAAAATGCTACTACCTTTAACGTTTCAATAAGTTAGCTTATGTGCATCCAAACGTGTACCCAGAAGATAAGCTAGCTTATTTTTGCCAAACAATGCCTTAATGTCCTCATCTTGTTAAGACATTTTCATTTGCATCCTTAATACACCTCACGTTTCCCAAGTCCCAACGCTTCCACTCTCTTGCTTTTGTCCTAAAGATTGAAAGTAAGGATATTGTGCATGAAATTTGTCCCAATTTCCCCACAACATTTTTCTTATTGATAATTCTATATCCAAATCTCCAAATTATCCACCAAAAAACTGATCATTCTCATCTAAGTTTGGCAGTGTAGGTGAAGAATATCAAACCCTTTTCAGTTGCTTCTTAAGCACAAAAATGTGCAATGGTGATTATGCACCATAGTCCCTAGGTGTTAGAGGCAACTCGAGCCTATAAACAATAGCCCCAACTCTGAGAAATCTTAAATGGGCCAAAGTACTTAGGGAGATAGTTTCCCAAATGATCTATTGTGTATGTTATTCTACTTGTATGGTCCTACCTTCAAGAACACCCATTCTCCTGCCTCATACTCCATTATTCTCTCGTTAGCATTAGCCGTCTTCAGAGCCAAAGTCATTTACCAATTGTGACGACAAAGGTGCCTCACATATCTATGAACCAAATTTTCCATAATACACAAAGCATATCGAAGTTTCCTATCAACTTGTTCGTGGAAAAGTGAATGGCACTTTTGCCAAGGAGGACGTGGATGAGAAGTTGAGGCCGCACATGACGGCCTTAAACCTTTCGGATGACACGAGCTTTGGTAGGAGTACTTCAAGACAAAAAATTAGGGTACCAGACTATGTGTAGGGTGCATCACTTATGGTAGTGGGGGAAGGGGTTGGAGGGGCAGTGGTTGGAGTGGGAGAGGGGGAGGGAGCTCTTTTCCTCGTACACATAAGGGTCCCTTGTGCCCTAAGACGGCCAGAGAGGGAGCGTTTTTTTGCCTAGTAGTGAAGATTGCCCCTTATGCATGTCTTTTGATCTTTTTTATGCACTCGTCTTTTATATTCATTGTCCTTGCTTTTTACCTTCTACACGATCTGACTATCTTCTCTTGCCTTTTCCATGCTTTGTTATGTCACTAAAAAAATCACTGTCTCAAACTCCTTACAATATTGTGAGAATAAACCTTCAAAATTTCCTATTAGGATTAACTTTCACTCTAAAAATAAATTCAATTTTGCAAGTCGGAGATCTTCACGGAATAGCCTTTGTGCCCTTAGGACAGAGGGACGGTCTGTGTACATCCTATCATCCCCTGCCTACTTCCAGGTAGAATACACCGGGTTTGTTTGGTTTGATTTTTACTTTGGGGGTTCATAAATTAGCTCTATATTAAGTTGGCATGACAAACAACAATATGCTTCTGCTTGAAGATTAAGTGTTATAATAGGGATATTTGCAACATTTTCTATCTTAATTACTAGGGTTTCGCTGGCATTGCTATTGTTTCGTCTCACAACACACGGCTCACTGCACACTATTTTACACATTTGCCAACCTATTGAATAAATCATGTTTTTATCCTTCTTTATTGTTTTTACACCCCCTTGGTCTACAGAATATTGTTAGATGAGATAGACATATGCACAAAACAATGTGTATGTTTTCCCTGATCAATCAATTCAATAAAAATCCAAATCAAAATGCTTCTCTTGAATCAAGAACCCTAGAAACCTTCAGAAAATTTGCATATAAGAATTAAAACCGCCAAGTCTTTCTCGTTATGCGACATCCCAACAGCTGAACTCAGATTTATAAACAAACAGAAACCCAAAAACCAATACATACATAAATTAAGCCATAATACTACCTTCAAAAGATAATCAAGACAACTACAAATGAGAAAACAAGAATAAAAGATAATGCATAATCTTGATACAAATCATTAAACATACATGATTTCTTGAAACGAAGGGTACTGATGAAGAAGCGAACTGAAATTTTCCCGTATCATCGATCGTTGTTCACATACGTAAATCACACAGCGTTCTTAGCCTAACCCCAGCACAAGAATTATTTTTAATTTTTAGAGAAAATTACAACATTCGTCCCTATGGTTATATGAAATTTCGGATTCGGTTCCTCAAACAAAATAATTACAATATCATGATTGTAGTTTCATTTTTATTACAAATTGGGTCCGTTTCTCTAACTCTATTAACTTAATTCAGTTAAATCAAGGGTCCTCTGGACCTTTTATTTCTTTTTTCTCATATTTTATGTTTAATAAGCCCCACCTCTGGTGAAACGCCTTTCTCTCTGAAAACCAGCTTCGTCAATAACACCAAATAAAACAACCTCAAAGCAAGATGAACCGCTACATTAAAACGAAAATCAAAACCAAGTTAGACTCAAACATAATCAAATTTGTATTTATGTTTTTCAAGGATGAACGATCTTTGTAGATTGAACCCATAAAAAATTTGTGTTCCTGTTTGTCTTTCTTGTTTCTCTATGCTCATTCACCTCACCCCTGCCACCACTGTTTTTTACCTCATATGCTCAAACTGGGTGTGAGAGCGGGGGAGGTGTCATGAGTCATCATGGATTCTGCAAGGGAAAAGAGGGGTTTAGTTTTTTTTTTTTTTAAAGGAAAGAGAAGGGTTTTGTTATTCATAGAGTAAATTGCAATTTTGGTCCCTACGGTTTGTTGTTTTTCTTGGTTTTGGTCCCTATAAACTTGTAATTGCAAACAAAAACCCTCATGGTATGCGAAAGTGCTTGGTATGGGTCCCTCAAACCAAATCCATCATATTTGCTCCCGTTACAACCCCCCATGTGACTTGCACATGACAGCATTTTGGTCATTTTACTTGCTCTTTTTTGTTTTTTTCTATTTTATTAGATTCTTTTACATGGAATTATAGTCAAGGTTTAACTGTTACTCTAGGGACTTGAAACTCTGCATAGCCTCCTTAAAAGAGGGCGAGTTCTAAAGATCATATAAAACAACTCATTTATAGTCACGCAACAGAAAGAGCAATGATTCTTTTAAAATATATGTAGAAGTTAATGTCTTTTCACAATATTCAAATGCTTATCACTTCACTTGGTTCAAAAGAAACATCAAATGAGCAAAACTAAGGGGCTGTTTGGTTGCCTCTTAATGGTGACATTAAGAGGAAACCTCTTACCGATTAAGAGGTAAAGGCTGTTTGGCAAAAAAAAATAACCCTTTTAATGATTACATTTACCTCTTAACCATTTTGTGTCTGGAGCCTCACTCAACCATTCAGTTTGCATTTATTCCATCTTTACCCTTCCACACCCCTTCTCTTCCAGCCATTTTGTGTCGCTTCATGAGCCCTCGTCGCCTTCTCACAGCCATCGTCGGTCGCCATCGCCGGTCGTTTATGCCGGTCACCTGTTGAGCTTCGCCGATCGCCATCGCCGATCACCTGTTGAGCTTCGCCATTGCTCATCGTCGCCTTCACCATCGCTCATCGTCGCCTTCCACCATCGTCGTCTTCACCATCGCTCATCGTCACCTTCATCTCTGCTCTCTGTATCTTCGCCTTCACCATCGCTCATCGTCGCCTTCATCTTTGCTCTGATTTGGTTAGGGTTTTGGTTTTTATTGTTTATGATTAATGACTTTTGGGGTGCATAAACTGATTTGGTTAGGGTTTTGGTTTTTATTGTTTATGATTAATGACTTTTGGGGTGCATAAACTGATTTGGTTAGGGTTTTGGTTTTTATTGTTTATGATTAATGACTTTTGGGGTGCATAAACTGAWWTRGTTAGGGTTTTGGTTTTTATTGTTTATGATTAATGATAGGTGTATCTCTTGGGGTYGTTTATAAATTCATGAGGGTTAAAATRGTAATTTACTGTCATTCAGATAACAGTTACCAAACAACATTATTTCATTCAGAACTTAACCATTCTGGCCCTCTTAACCATTCTGACCACTTAACCATTCTGCACCAAACCACTCAGGAACTGCCAAACAGCCCCTAATTTAGAAACCTGAATTGTAACACCCCAAGATCCACATTTGCATATAATCATGTATTTCATATATCAAAAAATACAAATAATACACATTCGGTCCCAACAGTACAAGAAAACTATATTACAGAATTGACAACCAATTTTTTTTTTCATAACATTCTTGTACATAACTTGCATATATAACCACTATTCAAAAATCCAATAGTTAGCATGTTGTTCTTCATAATCCACGTAAGCACAAAAGGAAAATTTCACATTTTTTCCCCTTCCCCTTATCCCTTGGTAAAGACTGACCTACAATGCACATTTTTTAAACACAATATGAGGGTTAGATTTTAAGGTCTAGTGAGAAGTCCCCTTTATGCAATTACACTCTGAAAATCACCAAAACCTGTTTAAAAATTCACATTCGTAATCATACAAATATATCTCAACTTTTTATAAGACAAAACTCAAATATCATATTTTAGTAAGAGTTTATAAATCTTCCTCGCCACACATAGCACATGACCACTCAGGTCCTCGCATCACTTCTGTGCGAGATACTTAAAGTCCTCGCATCACACTATGCGGGATTACCCAGAGCTCCTTTGGATCTTAAGCTAGAGCAAAGCCAATCAAAACAAAATCACGAAAGACTTAAACTTGAAGTCTAGATCAACTTACAACAATTTAAACCCATAATATGCCCAATCAAAGCTCCTCTAGTCATTTAACTTAAGAAAAGAAATCCTGAGTCAAACCAACTAGAGCCTCTGGTCATACCAACCAGAGCTTATGATCTCAAAAATAATACCAGGATATGCATCGGATCAATCCACATCTAAAGCATAATTCATCGGTGAGTATGAAATTAAAAATGATCAAGAGTTCAAATCTATTTTTACGCTTTTCATCATAATTTTTTTCTCACATGATCTTTTACCTATAAAATAATATATTAAAATTGTGTAAAAATATTAATTATAACGACAAAATAAACATAATTATAGTATATATGACGACATAATTGATACAAGATAGTTATAATTTGCGTTGACGGTATTGTTAAGATGGGAAAAAAAGATGATTATGATGATGTAATTGGATTCGGAAGCTGATGAATTTTTTTTAATTAACTTGGATATCCAACCCGCTATGCGAGTCGACTAATCCAAGGGCGACCGCCCGCTATGCGAGTCGACTAATCCAAGGGCGACCGTCCGCTATGCGAGTCGACTAATCCAAGGGCGACTGCCCGCTTCGCGGGTAGCCTGGAGTCACCACATTTGAACGTACGTGGCCACAAAAGGGATTTTTATTCCTCATTGGATTCGAACTTGGACCTCGAGACACTTTTGACCTTTGGAGCCTAAGCTCAAACCAATCGGATACCACCTAAGTTGATGACATTTTATGTAACACCGTTCAATTAAAAGAATGTGAATTGTTTGTTAAGAAATCTCAAACCCTTGAAGAAAAGAGGGTGGACTTGGTAGAGAAACTCTAGAGGAATAAAAAGCTAATGAAAAAATCTTCAAATCCAAGTGACGAAATAGTCGGTCGATATTGAAATAGCGATCGTCTTATGTGGAAAAGCGTTCCGGTGAACTTGGGCGAATTACGTTAACGTTATTGTACGAATTTTTATCTCTAATATTTGAGATATATGAACTTTATATTGATTTCGATATGAAATAATACGATATGTAATGAACCGGTATGATTTCAATACGAAACGGTATGAAATGAGATTTAAAATGTGTCATATTTAATGATACGACATTCATACATCAAAACAGATTATGTGCAAGGGGAACTTTGAGATACGGTGATTCTAACAGAGGAGTTGAAACTATAAAAGGACGATGAAAACGCGGGTCAATGGACAGAAAGCCCTAGACGATTAATGATTGCATTGCGGTTCTGGGTCTGGTTCTATGACAAGAGTTCCAAAATTGGCTGGTTTAACGAGCACATGTTGCCAACATCGCATGTAATGTAAGTGATTACACGAAGAAATGCATGACGAATGCTTATTTGATATCATAATCAACACCGATATATTTACAATTATGAAATTGTTGAAAAAAATATATTGTGTGATCGGATCCGTTAATTGTGATAATTGGGGTTGGACGTTAATTACCATAATATAAAATATAATAAAAGTTAAATAAAAAGGTATATAAATGAGAAACGATTGTTGTTTACTACGAGTTTTCGCCTTTTGTTTTGACGATGATTTACCACAAATTTATTCGTAACGAGGTAAAAAATGCATCACATGTATCACATTTACAGTGGGGTACAGAGCTGTAAAAAGGTTTTGAGAGCGTTTGGGTTGCATCAGTTTTTATGACCAGGGTTGGTTGACCTCACCCCTTCAAGGTTTCGTCCTCGGATTAGGTTCGGTTGATTTAACGAGTTCTTTATGCATCTCTAGTTATTAATGCAGGAAATATGACAATTGTACCAGTATTCTTTGACAAGAGAATCAGCGCCAAGGTCTAGTTGCGACGTATTCTTACATGGTATCAGAGCTAAAGTCTAGCAACGACTCTAGGGACTCGACACTCTATGCCCGTCTAGCCTCTGTAGGAGGGGGGTTTGTTCTAAAGATCATATAAACAGCTCATTTACGGTCATGCAACAGAAAGAGCATGATTCTTTTAAAATATATGTAGAAACTACCGTCTTTCACAATATTCAAATGCTTCTCACTTTCTTGGTTCAAAAGAAACATCCAAAGAGCAAAACTTCACCTGAACTTACCCATATTGTTTGCCAAGGGAGGTTAACGAAAGCTGCTACAACGGCATGCCACTGTAGGGTGGTGAAGTCATAGAACCTGATCTCTTCAAAAATGGGTGCTCCAGTAGTTGAGCAGCAGTAGGACGGTCATTTGGATCGACTTGCAAGCATTTAAGAATGAAA